AAAATAAATGATAACACTGCTTGTCTCAAACAAATTACTTGGAGGTCAAATCTTAAAAACTGGTCATGATATTTCTTAAATAATAAATACTGTATATCTTATAGCTGAACAGTAAAATAGAACACAGCGAAAAGCATTACAATATGACCTCATAAAGTATGGCAATAAAGGACACAATAGCAAAGTTCTCTATGAGAGAAGTCTGAGAACAGATTGCACCAAATACCTTAATTTAAAGTTAAAAGTGATACAGACTAGGGATCTACAGCATTTGGATTTTCATCCTGGCCAAGAGCCACCACAGCTTTCTTCAGAAGGGCCTCAATCGACAGGTGTGAGTTCTCAACAGCCTTCGCTATTGCTTGCCATCTCTCTCCATGCTTTGGTTCTGATGCAACACATCGTTGTACAACATCCTTATGTGTATCAGCGTTTCCATGTTGTAGTTCGAATTTGTAGTACAAGGCCCAAAAATCTCCAATGTCTGGAGCAAGAGTAACAGCTCTGTTCAACCAACTCCTAGCTTTATCAAACTTCCTATCATGCCAGAAAAGTTTAGCCACGGCTGCAATGACATGGGGATCATGGTCACATCGTTTTATAGCATCCGAGCTCTTTGCTTTACGTTGGGGACGTGGCACCATCTCTATAGCTGCAGCCCACAAGATACCACTTGTTGGGCACTCCTGCAATGCCTTGGCTAGTAAAGCATCAGCTTCCTTCTTGTTCCTATGCCTCAATTCAGCTCGAACTGCTGCAAGCCAGAGTTCAGGTGTAGCTGGGTTCTTCTTTCTTGCCATGGTGAGAACAGCACGTGACTTCCTCAAGCCATTTATCTTCTCCTCTAGATTAGTTCGGGCAGTGTTTCAGTGCGTTCTCATTAGCCTCCTTTGCCTTGGCTACATGACCAAGCCGGTCTTCCATTTGCCCAAGCATTAACCACAATTTGAAGAATGAGGGGAATAACTTCAGACCTTCCTCCAACAGCTTTCTTTCCTCGTCTACATTCCCTAACTCCCTTTCAACAATGGCAGATTTCATCCAGACCCTCTCAGTGCCTCCTCTTTCCCTGGCCTTTGACAAAAGAATTCTTGCTCTCTCTGGTTCATTGTTCTCAAACTCAAGCTTGAAGGCAGCTAGCCAGATCTCCTCTGAATTGGGAAGATAAGCGTAAGCTTCCTGAAGAATGGTTTGGGCAGCAGGGACATCTCCAGCCAGCCATTTCTCCTTTGCATACATAAGCCATAGCACTTCTGCATGTCGATTGTATGTTGTAGCCTTACTGAGGAGAATATAAAGAGACTCCTCAGTCCCATGTCTCTTCTCAAGCTGAGCCGCTTTCAACCAAATACTCTTCTTGAATTTGAAGACACTGAGCACATGTGCATAGATGGCAGGGGCTGTCTCAACTGAACCACGCTTCTTGCATTCCTCAGCATCAGCAACCCATGTGCGTTTTCTGTCTTCATCATCAACACCAACGCCAATAGTGTTCTTCACAATAGCCTGGCAAGTCATCACAGATCCAGCATGCTCAGCAGCTTCTGCTTCCTTTAGCCATGCCTCCCTGTCAATACCCAATCCTTTTCCCTGTAAAGTTTTTATACTTCTCTCAATCACCTCGTTTACTGACTCGGTGTTTCCATTAGCTTCCTCCAGCTTTGCAGCCATAATCCAGATGGCAGGCTCCTTAGGGAGCTTTTCTTTTGCCTTGTTAAGTACCTTCTTTGCTTGGTCATACGTCTCCAGCCTCGCTAGTGCAAGCCACAGTTCCAAATGGAATGGGCAGCACTCCACAGCCCTGTGAAGCAACAGCCTTGCATCCTCCTCATTTGCAAGCTCTACTACTGATTTCCACAGCCTGACTGAATCAGGAATGTGTTCCAACCCTTTTCTCAAAACCCTGCTCTTATTCAAGTCACTAGTTTCCAACTTCGCTGCCTGCAACCACAGCTTCACAGAATTGGGAATTTCCTTCACACCCCTGGCAATCACGGCCTTTGCCTCATCTGGGCTGGCCAACCGGCATGCCTTGAGCCAAACATCCTCATTCGTGGGGCACTCCTCGCAGCCACGCTGGATGAGCTGCTGAGCAACCTGAAGCTTGCCGGCAACCTCTTCAAGCCTAGCAGCAGCAATCCATCCTGGTGGATGCTTTGGGTTCGTCTGTATCACTGACTTGAGCAACAACCTGGCCTTCTTTATGTCAGAAATTTCAGCATCACTAGTAATCTTCATACTCTTCAGGTTAGTCAGGTAACCCCTTGGATCAACAATAGTAACACCGGATACCGAATCGGATAACCTGTCCAGCTTCAAAGAAAGCACGGTGCCACGGCCTTCGCCGACGGCTGTCAGATCAGTAACCGGAGTCTGCGCCCATGGCGTCTCTGCGCCAGCGGCGGCTGCACGGCTCTTGGGGTCCAATGCGGTGACATGCCCCTGCTCCTGCCGGGCCTTCTCGAGCAGGGTGTCAGGCACCGGGACAAAGCTCTCAAATCGCCTCTTCTTGTTGCGACGAAGCGAATAATCCCCAATCTCCGGTATGCTCTCCCACTCCTGCGCTGACAAATCGACCAATTTCCGCTTCAGATCGGCGAATTGCTCGGTGATTTTAGGGTTGGACGCGCGGTACCTCTCGATCTCCTGCTTCAGCCGCGCCTCTCGCCAGTCCTTGCGGCGCGAGTCCATCCTCCGGTCGATGCCCTCCCAGACCGCGTCCGCCTCGCGGTCGTCGTCGTCGTCGTCGTGGCCGGCGTTGGAGAAGAGGCCGGCGTCGTTGCCCTCGAACTCGTCGAACTTCTGGTTCTCGTCGTACCCCTTCTCCTCCTCGTCGCCACCGCCATCGCCGTCGCCGTCGTCCCCAGGCGGCTTCCCACGGCCGCGCCCCATGGCGGGCCCGATATCCGAGCGGGTGGTGAACCCGGCGGCGCCGCGTCCCAGTCTCGCCACGTAGTTGGGGGGCGGCTTGGAGTTGAGGAAGTCGTAGCGCGCGGCGCAGGCTGCGGGTGGCGGTGGTGGTGGCGGAGGCGCCGAGGGGGTGGTCGCGGTCGGGGAGGCCATCCCGCCGCCTCCGAGGAGGGGGAGGTGGACGAGCAGCGAGGAGGAGGGCGAGACCCGAAGGGACGCCAGGAGAGGGGACGGCACGGCCGGGAGGAGGCGGCGGTGGGAGAGGTAGAGACGAGGGAGGCGGAGGCTGTGAGGTCGGCGAGCGTGGCGGTGGTGGGGTCGAGGTCGACGTGGCGCGTCGTGCCGTCCGGCGCGCGGAGGAACACCATCCCGGCGGCGAGCCGGCGACGGCGTTTTTCAGGTTTGTGGGGGTGGGGGGGGGGGGGGTGGGAAAGATTGGTGCCGTTACTAAAAGTTGGGCGACGTGGCGTTACAGTATTTGAGGGATTGGAAATCACAAGTCGGTGGGACGGTGGCGACGTGAGGCGGTGCGCCACGTGGGCCTTTCCGAGCTTTTGTCCTACTACGTGGGCCGTGGATGATAGGCCTTTTGGGCTGGGTTCTCTTGGAGGTGGTGTTCTATTGGATGTGGTGTTAGAAACCTCTTTCCTTCGAGCATAAAACGGAGTGATGCATTAACACATAACTAATTAAGTATTAGCTAAAGAAAACTTAAAAAAATAAATTATTATGATTTTTTAAAACAATTTTTTATAGAAACTTAAAAAAATATTCCGTTTAGCACTTTAAAAAGCGTACAAGCGAAAAATAAGGATGTAAGTTATCGTGGGAGAGAACACAGGGACCTGGCTGCATGGTTTTGCAGGGGTTGAGAATCTTTCATCTCTAGTGCAACATTGAGCGATGGAGTGATATATGATTAATTATGAGTTGTTAGTAAAAAATAAAAAAACAGATTAATATATTTTTTTAGAACTTTCCTATATAAGTTTTTTATAAAAACAAATTAGTTTTTCTTTTTGAAAAACATGCGTGTGAAAAATGAGAGAGTGAAAGTTGGAAAGATAGGAGTAAAGAACACAGCCTAAACATGACTGGAACTTCCTTAAAAATATGACTGGAAACTTGCCATAAATATGAAGGACCTGTACAATTTATTACCAAAATTCACCTTTCAAAAATTTGGTATTGTTAAAATCCACATTTTCATTAGAAGAACTTTTAAAAATGAGTAGAATGACAATGCCAAGTCGTTATTACCCCTAGAGTTAAAAAGTATTCCCTCCATCTCGAGATAAAACATCGGATTTGCTAGAAATATGGCGCCATATGCTACAGTCGATTTTTTTTCAGCCACTTGCACAGTAGTTACACCTCATTTACACCCCACTTATATATGTAATTAGTATGTAATTTTCGAATTTACATATGTAATTTTAGTACTTACATATGTAATTTTGATACTTACATTGTAAATACACTAAAATTACATATGTAATTTAGGGACTTACAATGTAAATACATGCCGACTATTTTTTAATGAAAAATATGGCGCCATAAATATAGCTACACCCTTAGTTTGAACATTTACATATCCCGTATTAGGGAGTACCAGCGAACTGAACAAATTACGATCGGAGGGAGAATCTTTACATATCCCGTATTAGGGAGTACCAGCGAACTGAACAAATTACGATCGGAGGGAGTAAGATTCTTGCCGTTCAGCTCTTTCCCTGTCACTAGCCTTTCATTGTCCCCGTGACTAAAATTATGCAGATCAAATGATCCCCAGACCCCAGCAAGACTCATTTAAGCACATGTATTCCATAAAAGTTTCATAGTAAAGGAAAGATGTAGAAAAAAACTGGATGCATTTTCTCTTCCAAAAGGAAAAAATACTCTTAAATTCTTTGTTCCAACCAAGAGACTAGTTTACTGGGCAATTTGAGTACAATACGTTAAAGTCAGTACTGAAGTTTCAAGTCCATGGATCAGCAGTATGACCGGCCTAATCGGCAGGCATCACTTATTAAGAACATGCTTTGGAATTTGGTAGAAAATTCACAAAATGTTACCAAAAGGAAAATGCCACATTCCAAAGAGGGCCAAAATGATAATTGAAATTCACAAAAAATGACTCAAAGCACCTTTCCAAGTTTTACACCATCTGTTCCTGAAATGCATGCTACCAAGATGAAACTGCAACTACAGTAACTCATCAAATAACCACGCCTTTTTCTATGTAGAAAATTAACAGCTACACTGCAGGAACCCCATGGAAAAAAAGAATCTAGAACTGCCATTACAAATTAGTCTTGCACATGTTTGTCAGGCAATATATCCTCAGAATTGAAACATCCTAGCTAAAAGTCGAGAGTTCATTAGAAGAGTCAGGCATCATAGGAAGAACATCCAATGTGATAGGCATCCTGAGGATCTGAACCAACACTAGAAGTCTGATGATGGTATGGGCGCTGGACAGGGGGTAAAAGCAGAGCCAAAGACTTGTCCATCAGCAGAAGCCGTCCGCATTTACTGCACGCAAAGTAATGAAGAGTGTTACTTATGTAGTGGAATGTAAAATTGTGACGATAGTACAAGAGACATCTGTTAGATATATAATATGTGTGTGTACCTGCAAACTTTTGTAAATAGAGTCTGATAGCTGGCAATCCAACGCTGCAAGAAGTTAACATGTTAAATAATTAGCATTACAATGTGACGTTATTGCAATAGGATTGTTCAAAATAAAGGAAATAACGATGAGTAAAAATAATTTTAATGAACCTTTGAAAAAAACTGGATTACTATTCTGAACAATTTACCAATTCTTGTTGAAACTTACCAGCAACAGAGAAAGTGATTTAGTTGGTTCCACACTGACAAAGTATTGCAATGCTTTATCTGCATGCTCCTACATATAATAAAAAACAGTGTATTCGTTACACCGTAATGCCCTCTTATTGAAAACAATATTAAAAGAGAACACAGAAGAAGCATTTACCGATACATGCTTAAAAACATGATGCACCGATAGGCCTCTTGCATGTAGGTAACTTCCTCCCTAATATAAGATTCACTTCATGTGTCAACATTAAGAAAAGGTATTGTGCATCCATGACCACTAATTAACAAGTTAGCTTTTGGAAAACATGATTACCTCAGTAGGAGAGAAGAAAGCCACAGCATCAGGATCAGTAGATCCTGCAGGATGCAGTGATACTATAGCTCTAAATATAGAAGGAGCTAGCAACTCAATTATCGCAACCTGATCTATTGGAGTTGTATCACCAGATCCCGATTTGCTCATGTTTTGCAGGTTCAGCTCCTTAGATGGATCCACAAAGTCATCATTCATAAGGGTTGCTAATGATGCAGCTCTTTTTGACCAATCCAGACGCCGGTATGTGAATATTTTCATGTTAGGAACTTCATTTTCTAGATTCTTTAGTATCTCAGATAAAGTTCTTTCTTCAAGCTCCCCATTGCTAGCAGGCAGCCTTGGCTTTTTAGCGAGACCAGGTTCACCATCATGCAGATGGTTAAACCCTTCATCATCTAGATGAGGAAAGAACCTTCTTTTCTGGTCAGTGAAGGCCTTGAGAGCTAACCTGGAAACATCTATATGTTAGCATAAACCTGAAATTGATATACCTCTGAACATTATAAACACATGATAAATGGATAATAAAAATTCCATATGTCCTTGCCTGTTCACAAGCCAAATAATTTGTGCATTAAGCAGCGGCATACATTTTAAATTTTAAATTTAAAAAAGGTGAGGCCAGGCCACTAGGTACAATCGCATGTGGCTGATAGCTGTTAAGTTTAGTATAGTAACCCATTTTTGTAAATAGTAATAAACTTCGGGTATCTTGTCATGGGGACTAGGGGATGATCCGAAGGCTTGAAGCCTTCAACATAAGTACATACATCTAAAGAAGCACATGAATGAAGGGCGTTGGAATATTTCCGATGCATTCTGTGTAAAATCAAAATAAAATATGGATGCAACGAAAACAAGAACTGATCTAATACTTCAATTCCTACAAAAGCACTCCACACCTTGGAAGAATGTAATTATCATAGTAGAAGGATTAGAGAAAGCAAAGTGCAAAAGAAGAAACAAAAGAGGGAAAAAGGAGAAATAAGGGAAAAAGGGGAAAGAGGGAAACAACAGTACAAATTTAAAGGGGAAAGAGGGAAACAACAGTACAAATTTATCGGCCAAGAAAATTATCGTATATCGCAGGAAGAAATAACATGGTATAAATATTTAATCTGCATTCTGCAATGCACGGTTGATGAAATCTCACACATCAACAGAATATAAATAAGACAAATAAGCACATCATATTGTGGCAGCAAACATACAACACAACAATGATGGTAATGAAATTACCTAGTTCTGTCAACAGCTGATGCACCAGCCTGACCAGCCAGCTGACGCTTCCAAGCATATGCCACAACTGCACCATCTGGACAAACAAGTGGCATGTGCAAGCCCCATGAATTGCCTCTGGCTTTAAGGGCTCCATTTAGAACTCCAGACTCTTCCAATTGCCTTCCTAACAGCAATGGATACAAGATATTTATTAGGCTACAGTTTAAAAACTAGATCTTTACTTTCAGTTGGCTAGGCCAACACTTATGAAGAAATAGTGGAACTTGAAACTTGAAGTTCAATAAAAATAATTGGAACTTACCAGGAGAACTGTGTAAGCAATGATTGATGGTTCATCACAAAGTAAAAACATCATGAATAGCAACAAGCACAACTAACCCAAACACTATAACAAGAATACTGTGAAAGAACAATAAGAAAGCACCAGCAAAATCGAGTGAATCCATCCTGTTCACATACCTAACTTTATTGAAGATGGCTCCTAATATCCTTTGACTTAAAAAAATCTCAGTCACATGGCTTAAGCTTATCTAGTACTCCTAACTTCAGGATTTTCACAAACTAACTATTCTGTCTAAAATCATAACTATATCACCTGCAAATTTCATCTTCCGTTTATCTAGCAACTTCAGGTTGCAGAAAGACTCAAAAACCATCGTTTAACAAGCAGTTCATATTGCTTGGACATTTTATTCATCAGACAGAATAGTACCATGTTGCCATGAAACATGGATTTTCCAAATGCCTGCAGACTTCTTCAACAAACGACTGGTCAAGTGGTCACATGTAAACAATTGTACCCAACACATAACTGCTCTGCTGAGACAATATTATAGAGTGAGCACCTACCCTACATCCTTACCATCCACGAGTGATACTAAAACTAGTTCGAGCCCTGAGTGGCACTAAGGTGGTGTTTGGATCCAGGGACTAAATTTTAGTCCCTGTCACATCGCATGTTTGGATACTAATTAGAAGTATTTAACGTAGACTAATAATAAAATTAATTGCATAAATGAGAGCTAATTCGCGAGACAATTTTTTTAAACCTAATTAATCCATAATTAGCACATGTGTACTGTAGCATCACATAGGCTAATCATGGATTAATTAGGCTCAATAGATTTGTCTCGCGAATTAATTCAAGGTTATGAAATGGATTTTTTCATTAATCTACGTTTAATACTTCTAATTAGTGTTAAACATCTGATGTGACCGGGACTAAAATTTTAGTCCCTGATCCAAACAGCCCCAAAACAAGTTCAAGCTGAAGCTGTTCAATTAAGGTTAAATATTGCTCTATTACAAGCCAAGGAACACGAGTTCCAGAAATGCATCCCAATCTGATAGACCCAGGCACCCAGCCAATATTCTAGAATGCTAAAGTTCATATACCAAAGTTGAGCAGTTAAGCCTGTCCGTGCATCTCTCGTAGCAAGGTTTCATAGGTAGAAGGGTTTCACAAGATACAAGCAATTGGATAACACCAAAGAAGAGTGTGGCATCAGTTTATGGTGATTAACCATTATTACAGAACAATTTAGTGGAAAAAAAATGTGCTGCCATGCCTAAACTGGGAAGGAGATTATTACTTTAAAAAAAGTCCAATCATACAATCCAAAGAAGTTAAATCAATATCCCAGCCACCAATTTCCAGAAATTATCTAGACAAGGGTTTTCCTTTTTCTTCTTGAGACTGCAACCGTGGTATCATGACGGGAATATTTCTTTTTCATTTTGAGACTGCAACCGTGGTATCATGACGGGAATGTTCCTTTTTCATTTTGAGACTGCAACCGTGGAATCATGACGGGAATGGTTCTTCTCGGAGGGAATTAGTTGTATTTTGCGACGTAACAGTCAAAGGTTAAGGAATCGATGAAAAACTTCTGAATCGGAGAGTGTGGGGGCACGGGGCGGAGATGGGTTTACCTCCCGAGCGCGCGGAGGTCGTCGAAGTGGCGGTGCATGGCGGCCTCCTCCTGGGCGACGGCGAGCGCGGTCTTCTCAACGTGCTGCGGGGCGCTGTGCGGGGGCGCGTCGCCGGCGACGAAGAGCGCCTCGAGCAGACGGTCCGCGCCCAGCCGGATGTCCGCGATGAGCCGCCCCGCCCGCCCCAGCCGCTCCATCGCCTGCGCCACCTGCTTCGGCGGCGCGTCACCCCTCGCCCCCTCGTGCTGGTGCCCCGTCGCCCCCGCCGCCGCCGCCGCCGCCGCCGCCACCGGCGCGGCCACCACCGCCGACGCCTGCGCTTGCTGCATCTTCCTCTTCTCCCCTTCTCGCTTCCGACTCGAAACGCCTCACCTAAATAAGCCCATATCCAAACAGGCCCAGAACCAATACAAGCCCATATCTATTCAGGCCCAGATCCAAACAAGCTCGTATCCAAATTCGGCCCACGCCATCGGCTTCCAACGTTTCGAACGTTTGCGCTTCGCTTCCCACGCGGCGGCGGCGCCACCACCACCACCCTCCGCCATGCCGCTCGCCGGCGGCGAGCCCCGACCACCACCGCCGCTCCCGTCGCTGGTCAAGCTCGGAAGGGCCGTCACGCCGCGCCGCGTGGACATCCTACTGGCGGCGCTCCTCCGCCGGCGGAGGCACCGCCTCGTCGGCGCGCTCGCCTCGCAGGCGGTCGCCAACTCCGTGCGCCCCACCGCGCGCACCCACCTCCTGGTCGCCTCGGCGCTTCTAGATTCTTCCCGTCCGCGCGACGCGGCAGCGCGCCTCGCGCTCGCCGGCCCGGCAACCTCCTCCGCGCGCCGCCTCTGGGACGCGCTGCTCCGCCGGGCCTGCGCGGTGCGCGGCGATGCTCGCCGCGCGCTGGAGGTGCTCTCCGCCGGCGTAGAGGAGTGCGGGCTCGTGTTTTCTCCGTCCACGTATCGTGTGGCCCTGACGATGCTGTGTGCCCGCGGTGACATGGAGACCGCGCTCAAGGTGTTCGACGTAATGGCTGCAGCGGGGTGTCAGGTGGATGATCGTGTTTGCAGCGTGATCATTTCAGGCTTCTCCAAGGTCGGGAAGGCTGGGGATGGGCTGGAATTCTATAGGAGGGTGAGGAGAGAGTTCAATGGATTTGAGCCAGGCTTGATCACATTAACCGCTTTTGTCGATGTGCTTGGCCGTGTAGGGAGAACTACTGAGGCAGCACAATTGGTAAGGGAGATGGAAGGGAAGGGGTTGGTTGGTGATGCTGTTTTATATGGCAGCTTGGTTCATGGATACATGAGTAGCGGGTTATTGATGAAAGGGCTCCGTGAGCATCGGGTGATGTTAGATAAGGGCATTGCAGCTGATGTAGTTAGTTATACTACTGTTATTGATGGACTTTGCAGAGAACGTAGTGTGGAAAAAGTGATGGGATTCTTGGATGAGATGAACCGAAGGGATGCTAAGCCGAATTTGATCACTTATACATCATTGATTGGTGGTTTCTGCAAGAGAAACAGGTTGGATGATGCTTTTTCTATAGTGAGGAAACTGGAACAGACAGGAGTGGTGGTGGATGAATATGTTTACTCAATTTTGATTGACAATTTGTGCAAAAAGGGATATTTGGATAGGGCTTTCTCTTTGCTTGAAGAGATGGATAAAAAGGGGATAAAGATTGGAATCGTAACATACAATTCAGTAATAAATGGTCTATGTAAGGTTGGTCACACCAAGAAGGCTGTTGAAATATATGAAGGTATTGCTGCTGATAACTTCACATATAGCACGCTGTTACATGGTCACATTAAGGTAGAAGATGCAACTGGTGTAATGGCAATAAAAGGTAGGCTTGAGAGCAGCGGTGTTACAATTGATGTTGTCACATGCAATGTACTTATCAAAGCATTATTTATGATTAAGAAGGTGGATGATGCCTGCAGCTTGTTTCTTAGAATGCCCGAGATGAGATTAAGGCCTAATATTGTCACATATCATACAGTTATTGACATGATGTGTAAACTTGGAGAAACTGACAGGGCACTGCAGTTGTTTGATGATTACAAAGAAGACATCTTGTTCTCCTCTACAATAGTACACAATTGCCTGATTATAGCATTGTGTAATGGAGGAAAGGTAAACATGGCTGAGCAGATTTTTAATGATCTTATCCAAAGAAATTTAAGGCCTGATTCCTGTACTTACAAGAAGTTGATCCATACACACTTTAAAGAAGGCGGTGAACATGGCGTGCTGAATTTCATTCTTAAGGTGGATGGATCTGAAATTGACTTATTTTCATCTCTATGTAATTATGCTTCCGCTTTCTTAAGCACAAGAGATTGCTACCAAGGAGCATTGGATGTTTACAAGCTTCTAAGAATGAAATCATTTACTGTAACTAGCAAAACATGCTACAGGCTACTCAAATGCTTGCTCCGAAATGGTCATGAACAGACCATCCAGCCATTATTAAGTCAGTTCATTAAAATTCATGGCCTGGATGAACCTAGAATGATTAATATGCTATCTTGCCACCTCAGCAAGAACAGTGTTGGTGAAGCTATTGGGTTTTCCAATTACATGAACAATGGCCGTGTTCCTGTCAGTGTTCTAAGAGAAGCTGTATACACACTAAAGAGGGAAGGTAGAATTCTGGATGCATGCAACTTTTTGAAGGAAGCTGAACAAAATGGTTATTCAGTGGATCTTGCCATGTACTCCATATTAGTGGAAGGCCTTTGTAAAAGTGGTTATCTTGAGAAGGCATTAGACCTATGCGAAAGCATGAAAGAAGAAGGGATTCAGCCAAACATTGTCATCCATAACTCTGTTCTGAATGGTTTGTGCCAGCAGGGATGCCTTACTGAAGCATTCCGGCTATTTGACTACCTAGAAAGCAGTGAAGTGCTTCCGACACTGGTAACTTACTCTATACTTATAGCTGCTTTGTGCAGAGAAGGTTTTTTGGATGACGCTCATGAGTTGTTTCAGAAAATGTCCACCAAGGGTATCAAACCCACTACACGTGTTTACAACTTGCTAATAAGTGGTTATTGTAACTACGGGTTAACTGAGAAAGCACTGGAGCTTATATCACATTTTGAGGAAATATTTCTATTCCCAGACGCTATTACAATTGGTGCAATAATTAATGGACACTGCCTAAAAGGTGACATTGAATCAGCATTAGGCTTCTTTAGTGAATACTATCATAAGGAGATGGTTCCAGATTTTGTTGGCTTCATGAGCCTGGTCAAAGGACTCTATGCAAAAGGAAGAATGGAAGAATCTAGGAGCATCTTGAGAGAGATGTTTCAGTGCAAAGAAGTTGCAGAGTTCATAAACAGTGTTGGGGATAAGATCCAAGCAGAATCTTTTGTTGGCCTTCTATTTTCTGCCTGTGAGCAAGGGAGGATTGATGAGGTCGTGACTATCCTAAATGAAGTGGCGCTCATGTCTGTATCCTCTTCAGATTCTAATAATTGTAGCACGCTTAGTCACCTGAAGAACGTAGAGACACCTGTGGCTTATGATCGTAATATGGATAATCCTGGACAAGTTTTATGTTCAACTACTTATGGTGTTTCTAGCAACTGTCTTCATGGAATTTCTGAAGGCACAGTTCAACCCACAATAGATGGAGCTGAGAATTTATGCACACCAAGTGATGATACTGATATTTACTATGATAATTTGCTACGGAATTCTTTCCATGATGACTTTGACACATATTATCCAGCAATCGCTTCACTTTGCTTAAAAGGGGAACTGATTAAGGCCAACAAAGCAATTGAAGCAATGATTCAGAATTCTAGTTGAATTTGGTAGCTAGTTCATTCTGTTAGCAAAGTATTGCTGGTTTGTAGTATCATCATTGGCAAACAAAGTGTCATCTAACTTGTAAGTACATCATGTTCTTTTAGATATAACTGAAGCTTGGTGATGCATACTTAAGAAACCACGAGATATCTTAGACCTGCTTCTGTCCTGTGTTCTGTAGGTGAGGAAAACATTTGTCAACATGACTGAACTGTCTTGTCAGTTGGCAAAATAGGGTTCATAAAGGTGGAATTAACTATCACATGCAGGAACATTTCTCTCTTCTAACAAAAATGATGTGTCCTTTTGACTCGTTATCTAACCTTTATGGTCTAACTGTTTTTGTCTCTCTTTACAGCCTGAGCAGTGCAACCTGGATGAGCACCCTGAATGCCTTAGGTTCCAAACTTCAGTAGTTAGAGAAGGCCTCTGATGGTGGACATACGGGTACATGTATTTTCCTTTTGTCATTCATGTTGGTCAATTGTTGTGTATATGTTTGTCCAATATGGTGACATTGTTCAAGATCCTGAAATTCAGTGTCTATCTTGTTGCATTCAACTCTAGTAACCTCAGTTGATATGTTTGGCATTTAGGTCTTTTCCTTCTTAATTGACATTGGTTTCCTCTCTTCACATTAGTGGGTGTATTCAACTAGACAACTATGGCATACAAAGATTCTTTTTTTAGGGAATGGCATACAAAGATTCTATGATTAAAGAAAAAACATTGTACGAAAGAAAGGGAGCTACTGTCAGCCAAACTCCTTTCTATGCATCCTTTAGAGGAGCTATGTTTTTTTAACTTCTTTTAAAGAATGTACTCATGTGATGTCCAGACACATTCTTTCAGTAAATAACACAAATATGTTTTGTGGCCATATTAGTAGAAATCGGCAGGTATTTAATTTGGCTAGTGTCACATTATTCTGTGTTTTAAGGTCATAACTCATAAGGTTGACAAAATCAACAGTAACCAAAACACAGTTTACTGGCTTGCTGACCTGCCCTACCTGTTGGTCACCTCCACCTGTAGGGCTGTAGAATTAGGTGTTCTGAAACTTAATGATCAAAAAGCATAGAGTTAAGTTCATTTTTTTTTTAAAAAAAACATTGTGGCCATAAATCCTTGAAAATTGTTGTTCTGTAGCTGCCAAATAAAGATGAGACTGTTAATAGTCCACGGCTATAAATACACTGAAATATATCACTTTTGCCTGATTTCTTGGTCTAGAAATTGGATGGTTTACTTCTTCCATGGTACTGTTGCAAACCTTTTGAATTTTCATACTTTGTATACCTTAGTGGTGATTATTATGAAATTGTTCAGGTCATGTTTAGAGTTTAGACTAAATGATTACATCAGGGACTGGTCAAGTCATGTTTAGAGTTTAGACTATGATTACATCAGGGACTGGGAGATTTCTTGAGATACAGCATACAACATGACTACATGAGTAACTGTAGGTATTTCTTACAAACTACATCATATCATTTTGACAGGGGACAAATGTCAAAGCTAGCACGGCTGGAGTACTAGGGTAACTCATGAAGAGTAGGTGGATATGTACCATGAGTTCGGACTCGAGAGTCAGAATTTGGTAAGTCAAACAACCAGATCTAGAACAACCAAATGAACTCATTTTATATATTGAATTATTAAACATACACGTTTTGCAACGCAATCACAATAACACAAATGATCAAACAGCCTTGACGCATTACAACCAGCTTTACTTATTTAAACAAAACATGCCACTACCACCACCTTGTAAAACTCAGCACACAAGACAACCTCAGTGGTAGTAGTTGTTGAGCCTCCTGCAGTTCTTCCTGATCTCCCCCTGTGATCCAGTCAGAGGCGAGATGTTGCCCATATTCACCATTGACTGTGCGAAGTGCTTGAAGAAGAGGTTGACATCATCAGCATACGCCTTCACGAGCGCCGCTGTTTCAGCGCTCTTGGTAAGCAGGACCTGATCAGAGCTGAGAAGGCCCTTGCCAGACAGGATGTTCTTGAAGTAGAAGTTGTCGAACTTTGCGGGGCTGACAAAGTCTAGCGGGAAGAGGTTGTTGTCACCACCAGAACGGGGGCATCCCTGCCTCAGCTGTGCCGCGTAGGACACATCCAGTGTGTAGTCAGCCATGCCATTGCCGCTCTGATTGTAGAGCCTCTGACGGAAGCTGGTGCACCGAGACATGCCAATGGTGTGGCCACCTGTATGTATGCACCCATTTTTGTGCAATGTAAGAAAGATCTCTCTCAAGAAATGGACGCACATACTCATAAGATGGTAAGAAGAAGTTCACCTGAGAGGGCTACGACGTCGACGATGTTAAGGCCCTGGCGCTTGAACTTGGTGATGATGGTGGGGAGGGTGTTGTTGGGAGCTGGGATGTCGTTGTTGGAGCCCTGGATGCTGGCACCCAGTGAGTCCCTCCGGCCAAGTGGCACATCCCAGTACGGGCCACCAACCTGCAGGTTTGAGTGCAAATTCAGTCACAAAACACGGCACTGTTGAGCTCATCCTAGGAGCGGTTCTTTTCTCTAAGCTCATACAGAAATAATAATAATACACAGTTCATTTCTCCTTCTATTTCCGAATGTGATATTCTTTTGTGTGGTTCTGATAGAGCTTATCTCTGCTACATACGAGGACAGTGGAATCGCGTGCAGCGAGGGCGAGTATGTCGGCGCAGGAGACGGTGCCGGGGCAAGCTGCTTCGAGGGCGGCCTTGATCTCGTCGACGACCTCGAAACCCCTGAGGGAGTTCATGTTAGGGTTTGACCCCTTCTCACTGATGATGGTGGTGCTGTTGTCCAGGAGCACAGACGCGTCACACCCCTACACAATGTTGGTACATAGATTAGGTACATGGAAGTAGTACATAGATTAGGCACATGCAACGGAACAGCAAAATATATATTGATTTAGGGTCCTGTACTGGGTGAAGGTCTCTGATAAATGAAACATCGAGAGCGCCAATTATTGTGCATTTGAATTAAATAGTCATCCTCTCTTTGAAAAGAAAGTGAATAATCAAGAAATCATGGTACGGACTCATCATATCACCAAGGCAGAAAGTAGTGCTCGCATGGGCAATGTTGGTAGGCTATCTTATCAGTGGTAAAAAGTTTGCCTAATAACTATAGATTCTTCCATGCTCCTAAGGGTACCTTTTTTAATACCTAGGTACAAATATAACAAAGGTTTGATCTCCTACACTTTGCGTTTTCGTTATGTAACAGCTAAAGTTGCATCTGCAAATACATGTCTTTTTTTTCTCTATTTTTGATGACTATTTGCAATACCTTCATATGGATTTAACCATCGCAAAAGCAAGTGAAACGCATATAATTGCCTTTCTAGTTGCACTAAGCATACAACTCATTTGAATTATGTTTTTGCAGGCTACACTGCAGGTGCTATGTCAACCGAGCACCATTAGCTTTGTGAAGACAAGTAAAGAATGCTACAGCAGAAGAGAAATCACAGTACCTTGACAAAGCAGTCATGAAAATGCAGCCTGACCAAGGATGCCGCCATCCTGGTCTCCCTGGCCACCGCCTGTGCTACGATGGACTGCACGATCTCCTTCGCCTTGGGGCACGAGTGGTCGTAGAACTGCGGGAACAAGCCATACCCATACCCATACCACGGGTTGCCGTGGACAGAGGTGGCGAGGAGGAGGGGAGAAACCAAGCAGAGCATCAACAGGCAACCCATGGAAGTCGCCAAGTAAACCTTCGCTGCACTGCACTGCACTGCACTAGGTTGCTAGGTAGGAGAAGAGAATTGCTCTCTGTTTGTTTCTACTTCTCTTGGTTGTGGGTGGCGAGAAGAGGCGGGCATGGGGTGGCATATATAGCACCTGTGGGGGGGTGCATGTAGGAAGGGTGGTTTGGAGCAGAGGACAGTGAGATGAGACGCGGCAGGGCAGCTTGGGTTGTTAGGGTGATGCGTATAAAATAAGTCAGCTAGCTACGCATTGTGCTCAACTGCTTCAGTAATTCCATCAATTATCAGCTAATAGTAACTCCAACTTGCTTGCAAGGCTTTTCGGTCGTCTTATTGTTTTGTTTGGGGCTTTAATTTTAGCAAAGTCATTTGAAGATTTAATGCTTGTCATTGTCAACAAGTGTAGATGGAGTGATAAGTGATAATCTCTCAAAAATGAAGCTCAATATTGCTTAGCAGTTGGAGAGAGGATAAAATGGTCTGATGAAACAGAAAATGCTACTTAAAAATAAGCATTCCAATTAAATATTCATATAACTGCTTGTACTATGAAAAACTAGAAGGCAGCATAATCTGCCCCTGTACACTACACATTATCTTTCTACTCATTATCGAAACCTTTGATGGATTATATAATATTATATTATACCCTCCTGTATCAGAACGTTAGAGATGTTGTTTTAAATTACCATAATGAGGCAATGCATATGCACAAAGATATATCAGTCGTTCCTCTCACTTTAACCTTTTTGCCTCATAGTAGGCCCACACCTGACAGGTTGTACTAGTATGTATATATATATATATATATATATATATATATATATATATATATATATATATATATATATATATTCCCTGGACCATATCCAAAATTTAACCTCACAAAACACATGATAATTTGCACATCATGTGTGAAATCAAACTGACAAAGCACAAAAGCGTAGACAAAAGTAAGGTTTTGCTTCCGTTTTAATCCTACTACTTTGGTTATACACAAGTGTCACTACAGATCATACGGCTTTGTTTAATGCAATACCTTATGTATGCTGGACTATTCACATGAATGTTTTCTATTGTTGGTGGTCATCAAACTTGGATTCGTATCCCTGTCTTTGGGGATCAAAAGTATGATGCTACATTGCCGTATATTTATTACTACAAACGTTATATCACAGTATAATCTCTAAGGTTTCTTCATATATTCTGTTGTCCTTGTAGATACCACCAAACTAAGTTACCTTTTCTATGTTATTGCAGCGATCAAACTGGCATTTTTGATGGCTCATTTAAAGTATGATGCTACATTCCGTATACTTATTAGTAGAAACGTTATATCAAAGGATAATATCCAACATTTTTCATATGCTGTTGTCCTTGTATAATTGTACTGCCAAACTAAGTTACCTTTTGTATGTTGTTGCAGCGATCAAATCAACTGGGAGTTCTGATGGCTCATCAATGGTCGGAGAGAGGATGTGTAGTACCATGGTGCATTTTGTTGTACAACACAGGTGCTGATATCCTAGCTAACACATGCATGGAGATGGGGGATCGGTCGATCAGGTCAAACGAGATGTGCCATGTACCAACTCTCAACACACGGTGCGTGATGATGATTCGGCGTTAGGTGTCTTGCATGGCCTACATTCTTGTCACAAAGCAGGTTCTTCAACTGTTCCAAGGCTTTGTCACCGGCAGCCTTGTTCTTCTGTGAAGCACATATCAGTGGCCGTTTCTTGAAGGAAGCAGCATGGCGGTTGTTACAGTCACAGGCTCACAGAGACAGTCACAGGTATGCATGCTACGTGTATAGCTCTAGAACCCTTGTTCTGATGTAGATCTGCAAATGTAGTGCAGAAAAAGGCTCTTTTTTAAAGAACATTATTACTATGTGATTTTATATCATAAGTACCTGACTCAATGAACACAAGATGAATAAATCAAGACATAAATCGATCTAGGAGCTTTCATCTTAATACGGCCGTCCCAAAAAAAACTTCATATTTGCCATGACGAGGAAAGTTTGTAGCTAAAAATGATATATTTTTGGAAGGGTGTAGTACTACTGAATCTGAATGGTGATCTACATTAACCTCTCTCTCTTCATTTTGCGTATGGTAGTTTTTGTGTTGATTATTTATCTCTTAAGCCTGAACACAATATATATTTTGTTTTGATGGGATCAATGCCTTTAGGTTTCATGTTTGTTTGTATCATACCTATTATTTTGGTCCCAGTAATTATTGTTGTAATGTACTCACAACTCATGTGGTAGGGCATTACCATGGCAAGTACACACGCCACATGCCTCAAAGGAGGCTACAGATTTGGCATCCCTACTGCCAAAACCTTAGAGGAGACAAAAGTGAGATGAGCAAGAGTACCTGCTCATTTGACTTCTGTTGTGTTGTAAGGCTAATGATACTTTTATTGTATCCTATTCCTCTCCTTCCTACAGAGTTATAACTTAGTATATAGTTTTAAGATCTTTGCAATGTATTAGTCATGCTTACTGTGCAAGAGAAGACCAAAGTTTGAATAGGTCCTACACATTTCTTAGAAGCTAACCAACACAAGTTTTTCAAACTGGATTGAAGATAATTTGACATTGGTTTCTTATGCTAACCTGTTCCGATGTATACAGGACTTGAACACTAATAAATGATTTGGTTAGAGGGTTGCTTAATGTATTTTTCTGATTATACTTTTACCAAACCCCGTCCCCATCTGCTTGTAAGCAAGCTTAAGTTAAGGAAAAAAGAAAAGATATAGTTAGTATCCAAAGCCCTATAAATTACTCATGTTTTCCCCAATACTAGCATACATGACATTTTGGCAACTTGTATTATGAAACAAAGCAAGTATTTAACAAGGTCCCTTGGAATGGAAGCCTAAAAAATGTTATACTAAGAATGTCTAAGGTCTTAGTAATGATAGGGGATTAGGAGGTTGATCACAGATTAAGGCAAGTTGATCACTGCTTTGTTGACTGTTAAGACTAGCCCTTGGCTTCCAAGGAATTCAATGGCTAAACAGTTTTTTTTTTTTTTGAAAGTTAGGCAGGAGAAATTGGTTTTTATTTTTAGTTAGCTGCCTTATTTTGCAAGTGCTGTGTGTGTTGCTGGCGAAGGGAGCTATTGTGCATGTCTTTTCCACGTTTCTTCTGGAAAATATTTAGCACTTTTACGCAATCTGAAGCGTGCGTGCGAATGAATATTAATTTGACACTGGCTGCAAGCCTGCCATGCCACGTTAATACGTTATACGCTGCAAAAGAAAAGGTAGAAAAATCTGTGGCTAATAGAAGGGTAATTAAGTTAACCTCATTACAGTGTAGAAACATTATGGTTAATTGTCTGCAGCTTACTATTGCGATAGCAGAAACAGAAGCCTTGGACAGATCGAATTAACCTCTGTATCACAAAGATAATTTTGCAAACTGATTCTCGGGTTTACCTAGGTCATCAAATGATCCAAAAACACGTGCAATTTCGTCAAAACAGCTCTATGCTTTAATTTGAAAGTTGAAACATGAGTGCCTTAGCTTGATAATTTGGTGCATGGATGTAAATATGTTTTTATGCAGAATATCCTAAGTTAGAAGATATATATAGCTGGCACAAATTTGATTATCCAAAAAAAAATGTCAATATACACGTATAGTGATGAGTGAAATTATTTTTTACAGAAACAGATTTCAGGTGATAATTAACATATTCAATGTTATCATACTACTATTATACTAGCACTCTAACAGGATCCATTAACAGTGAACATATAATACAATTGTACGTACCTACTCGCAAGTCGCATGGCATGTATATCGACCAAAAGAGTCAAAGACGACGCGTGGGTAGATTCGATTCCATGTTTGGTTATGTCCTTGCTAGAGTATATTAAAAACATCCCCCCTAATTTCTTTTTTAACTAACCAACTTCAAATAAAAAAACAAAATAAATACACCCTCCGTAAAAAAAAGGACAACTTCTAGAGATAAATCTAGATAAATGATTTTACAGTTCATCCTCGGAACTCAGAAGTTGGTTTTTCATAAGACATAGACCCTGTTTGGATCCGGAGCCCTTCGGAATCTTGCTATTTAGAAGTATTAAACGTAGATTATTGGCAAAACACATTCCATAACCCCTAGGTTATTTTGCGTGATGAATCTAATCATGGATTAATATACATCATTAGATTCGTCTCGCAAAATAGCCTAGGGGTTATGGAATCGGTTTTGTCGGTAATCTACGTTTAATACTTCTAAATATCAAGATTTCGGATGGCTATTTAATAGTTCAGAGGATCCAAACAAGACCATAACCATAGTAGCATATATCAAAGCTCAATAACCGAAAGAAATGTAATACTACGAACGTACAGTACCCCTTTTATTTTTTATTTCTTAACACACACACACACAACGACACTCTCTCAATCATCAAAATTAGGCAATATGTGTTATGATTACACAGTGTGTTGGTTTATATACTAATACTAGCATTAATTTATCTAAGTTCACTATATATGGGACTAATCCCACCAATACCAAAAAGTTTCTACTAAAGGGTCGAGATATTGCATACATTTTTTTTCTTTTGAAAATGTTCTTATAGCTCAATCATATTTGAATATTCAAGTATAGGGGTGACATGCATGCACAATTAAAAAATAAAAAGAAAACAAAATGAACTTTCTCCAATATATTGCTCAATCATTTTTTTCCCATTTTTGCAACAACTAACTAACCACTCTGACACACTCATTTTATCCATGTCACATCAATTTGTTAAAACTTACAACTCG